GAAAAAGGGAGCATGAAGAAGGGCGCACAAGACAAAGAAGAAGAAATAGAAGGAAAAGAGAAGAGAAAAGAGGAGAGGAGGAGGAGGAGGGGAGGAGAGGAGGAGAGGAGGTATAATAATAATAATAATAATAATAAGAGGAGGAGGAGGAAGTATAAGAAGAAAAAGAAGAAATAGAATAATAATAATAAGAAAGTCAAGGAAGAGAAGAGAAGATGAAGAAGAAGCAGAAGAAGGAGAAGAAAAAGAATAAGAATAAAGAAGAAGAAAGGAAAAGAAGTCAACGACAAGCCCAAGAAGAGGACCCCCTGCCTTCACCTTGGGCAGCGCGAGGCCGAAGAAGAGCGAGAATCCGAGGACGAAGAGGTTCCTGGAGGAGTTGAGGTCGACGAACTGCAGCGAGGAGAGTCCGACAGCCGAGATCATGGCGAACATGACGCAGAAGACGCCGCCCACCACAGGCTCCGGGATGGTGACGAAGAGGGCGCAGAACTTGCCCAGCATTCCCACGACGATCATGATGACGGCGCCGTACTGGACCACGCGCCGGCTGCCCACCTGGAGGATGAGGGGAAGGGAGGGGGTGAGGCGGTGTGGGGGGGGGGGTAGAAGGGTGGAGTAGCGGGTCGGAAAACATGGGACTGATGATGGTAGACGAGAATGTTTGAAGTTGTGTGTCACTTTCTTTCTATCTCTCCCCCCCCCTCTCTCTTTCTCTCTCTTTCTCCTCCTGCCTCCCTATCTCTCTTTACACACACACACACATATGTCGAACTCAGCCCGTCCATAACATCATATGCCATCACCAGCGGCCTTTACCATTCCCCTGCAGGACACACGTACAGACTCTCCCTAAACACTAACCCACAGAAAGGCCACCCTCCCCCCCCCACCCCGACGCCACAAACAAGCCCGAGGCCGACCTTGGTGACTCCGATGGCCCCGATGTTCTCGGAGTAGGAGGTGGTGCCGTTGCCCGTGCCCCACACGCCGGCCAGGATGCACCCGATGCCCTCGATGCCGATGCCGCGGTTGACGGCGTGGGTTGGCGGCGGCGGGCGCCCCTGGGGAAGGGAAGAGAAAGAGTGACTACGAGTACGGCAGAAAAGCCTCCGGCTCGTGAGGATACTAGGTTATGTTAGTTAGATTAGTTAGATTAGTATATATATATATATATATATATATATATATATATATATATATACATATACATATATCACACACACATATACATGTATCTATATCTATATCTATCTATCTATCTATCTCTATCTATCTATCTATCTATATGTATGTATGTATGTATGTGTGTTATTCATATAATATATATATATATATATATATATATAATATATATATATATATATATATATATATATATATATATATATATATATATATATATATATATATATATATATATATATATATATATGTATATACACACATATACATATTTACACACACAACACATATACACATACATTCCCATTGCTTCCTCTCGCCGCCCCTGCCAGCCTCGCGCATGCGTAGTAATCCCCGACGCTCTCGATCATGGACGCGAGGACGCCGGCCAGCATTCCGAACACGCCCGCCACGGACACCGTGGGCGTCCCCCACTGGCCTGAATAAAAGATGAACTCCCGTTAGGCTCGACGTGAACACAGGCGAGGCCACGTTCGTTCAGAGGGGAGTTGAGGTTGTGATTCATGGTTGTGGGACAGGCGTGTGCGTGGGTTTAAAGGTCCGGGAGGAGAGGTCTGGTGTGGAAGGCTGGGATGTGGGAAAGTTCTGGGACGTGAGGGAATGGTGTCTAACTTGAACCGTATTCATGTTGACAAATATAGAAAAGGTATGAATGAGAATGAATATCTTTACAATACAAGAGATTTGTTTGATCAAATACATCTCTTGTATTATGAGGACATTCATTCCCATTCATACTTTTTCTACAGTTGTGTAACTTCTTGTGTTAAAATATGTGAATGGAGTGTGATTATTTGTGCGTAAAAGTTGTATCGTTTTTATATTTGATCAGCGTGGTAATCACACCCACCCACAACAAGAACAACACACACACAATAACACACGCAGACTCATATACCTACACACCATTAAATTCACGAACATACCTACATTCTCCAATGAACATGTATGAGTGTGTCTAGTAACCTGTACATGGATCCGATCCTGTAATACTCCCTATCTTCACCCCCCCCCCCAAAAAAAAAAATGATGAAAGCAAAAAAATTACGTCATTCCCTCAGTTCCCCTGAAAAAGCTTACACCCCATCACCCCTCCCCCTCCACTCCAAATTACCCCCACTACCCCAAATATTCCCTCCCCCGCCCTACAAAGTACCCCTCCCCCACACAAATCGCCCCTCTCTCTCTACCATCTCCCAACCTCCTTCTCCTCCTACCACACACCTCTCCCTCCCCCATCCAAACTCCACCCCTCCACCTTTCCCTCCCCCTTCCAAACCCCACCTCCCCTCCCTTTCACCTCTCCCTCCCCTGACCACCCCAACTCCCCCTCCTCCCCCTTACCCCACCCCAACCCACCCTCTCCTCCCCTCACCACCCCAACCACCCTTCTCCCGCCCCCTTACCCCACCCTAACCCTTCCTCTCACCGGGATAAGGGACCCTAAACCAGGGAGAGTTGTCGAGCAGGTCCGTGGTGAGGTCCGTCCGTGCCTTGTTGTTCTCCGACAAGGCGCCGCTGGCCGTCAGGATGCCACAGAAGCCCCACGAGATCAGGATGGCGAGCAGGACCTGGGAAGGATGTTCATGAGAATGATGGTAATGATGAGGTTGATTGTGAGGATAGTAATGATAATAATGATAATGATAATAATGATAATAATAATAATATAAATGATAATGATAAATATATTAATGATAATAATGATAAATGATATAATAATGATAATAATGATAATGATAGTAATTATAATGATAATAATGATAATGATAGTAATTATAATGATAATAATGATAATGATAATAACGATGATAATAAAAATAATATTGACGATAATGATAATAACAATGGCAACAATAATGATAGTAACAATAATAATGATGACGATGATAATAATAACAATAATTATGTTAATAATAACAATAATGATAATGATAACTATAATAGTAATAATAATAATGATAACTATAATAGTAATAATAATAATGATAGTAATAATATCATCATAATAATGATAGTAATAATAATAATAATGATAATAATAAGATAATAATAATAATAATGATAATAATAATAATAATAATAATAATAATAATAATAATAATAATAATAATAATAATAATAATAATAATAATAATAATAATAATAATAATAATAATAATAATGATAATAATGATAATAATAATAATTATAGTAATCCTACTTCTACTACTGATGAAGATGACGAGGGCCTGCAGAGGGGGAAGGGAGAGGGGGGGGGGGGGAGATGTGAGGGGGCAGTTAAGAGGGGAAGTGTGAGGCAAAAAGGGAGGGCAGTTTTAATTTCATTTGTTATAGTGGGTATTTTTGCTGTGGCATCCTGCCTCTTTATTTTGCTTCTAAATCAATATAAATGTCGCGAGGAAATGACGAATGTGCAAATAATACCCCCCCCCCAAAAAAAAAAAAAAAAAAAAAAAAAAAACATCTAATACTGAGTTAGGAGAAGAAGGGGTAGAAAAAACTGGAAATGGGTAAAAAGAAATGAAATAGAAAGGAAAACGAAGAAGAAAGGGGGAACTAAACAGAAACAAAAGAAAGGAAAAGGGCGCATTCCTCCCGGACGTAAATTCGCCACACAACACCCTTTGCAACGCGACTTCAGTGTTAAATTTTAGACCTTGCAAATATTCCCACAACGCCTTTCCTCTTTTAAGCCTATTGCAGCCACTTGCACTTCTCTTATATCACTTTCATTATCTCTTATCACCGATGAACATTATCTTCAAGCAAAAAAAAAAAAAAAAAAAAAAAAAAAAAAAAAAAAAAAAGAAAGAAAAAAAAAATCATAAACATTTTTAACCAATCCTTTCGGTGAATTGCAAATGATACGTTTAATACAATGTATTGAAATCTAATACTTGAATCACTTTGCAATTCAAAGATAGTTTCCAGTCACAATAAAATACAAGCAAAATGTAAGAATAATAATCAACAAATAACAAAACGAGTATCAGAAACACGCACGCAATAACATCCAATAAAAAAAGAAGAAATCCCAAACAAAACAAAGAAAAACCGAAACCTAACGAACATCCCTCAACACAGAAAACCGACAAAGAACCAAAGCACACAACACAAAACAAAACAAAAAAAAAGATACGCACAGGGAAGAGCTTAAAGATGTACACGGACGAGAAAGAAACCCCCTTGTCCTTGCTGTACGTGGGAACAGGGACCCCCACGTTCCTCAGGTACTGCGAGAAGAGGATAAGCAGCGCCATCGTCCTGCGGGGAAGAGAACGGGTCACGTGACGCATCCGGAGGAATCCCTTCTGTTGTGATAATGCTATAGCAGTGATATTGTAAGTAATAAATCTATGGTAAGATAATAAAATGGTAAAATAAATGATGTAATGATGTGATAAATCTATGATATGTAAGTAACTATGTGATATTGTAAGCTATGGTATGATAATCTATGGTAATGATATTGTGTGATAATCTGTAATGATAAATAAATATATGGGTAAATCTATGGTAATGTGTAAGTGATAAATCTGTGATATTGTAAGTAATCTATGGTAATGGTAATGCTTATGATAGTGTAAGTAATAAATGTATGATTGGTAAGTGATCTATAATGATATTGTAAGTGATAAATCTATGGTGTAAGTGGGTAATGATATTGTAATGATAAATCTATGGTAATGATATTGTAAGTGATAAATCTATAATGATATTGTAAGTAATAAATCTATGTATGATATTGTAATGATAAATCTATATGATATGTAAGTAATAAATCTATGGTAAGTGATAAATCTATAATGATATTAAGTAATAAATCTAAATGATATTGTAAGTGATAAATCTATGATATTGTAAGTAATAAAATCTATAGTAATGATATTGTAAGTGATAATCTATAAATGATATTGTAAGTGTAATGATATTGTAAGTAATAAATCTATAGTAATGATATTGTAAATAATAATCTATATAATGATATTGTAAGTAGTAATAAATCTATGTAATGATATTGTAAGTAATAAATCTATAGAATGATATTGTAAATAATAAATCTATGGTAATGATAAAATAAATCTATGTAATGATATTGTAAGTAATAAATCTATAATAATGATATAAGTAATAAATCTATAGTAATGATAAGTAATAGTAATGTAAAATAATAAATCTATAATAATGATATTGTAAGTAATAAATCTATAGTAATGATATTGTAAATAAAAAATCTATAACAATGATATTATAAGTAATAAATCTATAGTAGTGATATTGTAAGTAATAAATCTTAATGATATTGTAAATAAAAAATCTATAATTATAAGTAATAACTCTATAGTAGTGATATTGTAAGTAATAAATCTGTAGTAATGATATTGTAAGTAATGAATTTATAATATCAATAATGTAAGTGATAAATTTATAGTATATATAGTAATAAATCTATAGTAATAATAATGTAAGTAATAAATCTTTAGTAAAGATAATGTAAACAATAAATATATAGTTCCATTAATGTAAGTAATAAACCGATAGTATCAATAATGAAGGCAATAAATCTATAGTAATAATAGCGTAAGTAATAAATCTACAGCAGTGATAAATCTAGGTAATTCCCCAGGCCCGTGTAAGTAATAAAACTATAGTATCAATAATATAAGTAATAAATCCACAGCGAAAATAACATGAGTAATAAATCCACAACGAAAATAACATAAGTAATAAATCTACAGCAGTGATAATTCTAACTAATAACCACAACGAAAATAACATAAGTAATAAATCCACAACGAAAATAACATAAGTAATAAATCTACAGCAGTGATAATTCTAAGTAATAAATAAACAAAGGAAATAATACAAACAAGGAAAAAATACCAGACTCCCCCCCAGCAGTGATAATTCTAATCCCCCACCCGTGCCCCCCCCCACTCACATGAAGGAGACGCCCCAGTGCAGCGAGGCCTTGTCGGCGGCCACCTCGAACAGCGACAGGCCGACGAGGGCGACTGTCGGGGCGATGGCCAGCGGCGTGATCCACGTCAGCAGAATGCCAATGATGCCTGAGGGAGGAGCAGAAGAAATACTTATAGGGCTGATTTGCCTTTTTTATTATTAATTTATTTATTATTATTATTTTAGGAATATCCCAGTGGTGATGCCTGAGGGAGGAGAGAAATACTTAATAGGGATGATTTGCCTTTTTATTATTATTATTTGTTTATTTGTTATTATTACTATTTTAGGAATATTTCAGTGGCGGTGCCTTAGGGAGGAGCAGAAGAAAGAAAGGAGAACTTAATGGGGCTGACATTTTTTTATTGCATTTAATTATTTATTATTATTATTTTAGGAATATTTCAGTGGTGATGTTTACGGGAAGAGTGGGAGAAAAGGAGGACTTAATGGGGCTGACGATTTTTTTTTTTTTTTTATTTTTTATTATTATTATTATTTCTATCTAAGGAATATTTCAGTGGTGAGAAAGAGTGGGAGAATAGGAAAACTTAATGGGATTGATCTGATATTTATTCGTTTATCTATTTGTCTATTAATCTATCTATCTATCTATTATCATTATTATTATTTTTAGGAATATTTCATTGGGATGCTTGCGGGAAGAGTAGAAGAAAACTTTATCATCAACATCATCATGTGATTATGATTACTATCATCATTAAAATTACTATTGTCATTATCATTACCACAATTACCATTATCATTATTTTTGTTATCCTCATCATCAGCAGCATTTCTTTGCAATCAGTGATCTGAGATGCACATAGCCCAGGCCTCTCCACCTCGCCCATACCCTTGGAGTGTTGTCCAGGGCGGCAATGAAGAACAAAAGCCTCTGGCATGACGCAACTGTTTTTCCCACTAATGTGTTAGCGTTTGGCTCTGTCCTTGTGTCAAGGAGAAAGACTTGTTCTGCCGACGCGGGGTTGTGCCTGGTTCTCTGAGATAGTGTGTCTCTACTCCCTTCGTTGCTTGTGTTTTCTTCGTTATCATGCTGGTATGGTTTATTGTCATTACCTTTTTTAGCTTCCTGAATCTTCTTTTCATCACCATATCATTATCTTTGTTATGTGGTTGCCTGTCTTTTCGTTTTTATTTATTTATTTACTCTTCATTTATTTATTTATTATTATTTTTTATCTTTTATTTTATTTTTTTTTTATCTTTTATTTTATTGTTTTCATGTGTCACAATGATTATAACGATTATATTAATATTACTGTTTATAATATTGTTTTTTTGCTTCACTGCCATCATCAGTTTTTCTATCATACTTTTTTATCATTACTATCAATATAATTATTACCACTATTATTATCATTACCATCATCGCCATCATCATCATCATCATAATTATCATTATCATCATCATTATAAGTACCCTCCTCCTCCTCCTCATTATTATCATCCCTGTCACTGTCATGGTAAGCTTGATATTCCACGCGCGCGCACACAGCCTCCCGTAAAGCCCAGAGCACGTGAAGCCCCCGTGACAAGGTGAGCTTTCTCTCCCAAAGTAACACGGTTGTTTATGACCGCAAAAATCACATTCTTTCTCCGTTCTTATCAGCAGATATGAAAGTCCTCGGATAAGGAAACGACAGAGTAAGAATAATGATTCAGGAGCGAGGTCTTTGAACTCGATGGGAAAGAATAATACTAGGTAGATGATGATTGTTCATGGCGATGGTAATAATAATAATAATGTAATAATAACAAGTAGGAGAATATCAGCAATAACAATAAGGACAACAACAATAATAAAAAGAACAGCAATAACAACTACAATGATAAGAACAACACCAATAACAGCAATAATAATAATAACAATAACAAAAGTCATGCTAATGCTAATGAGAATGACGGTGATAAGAGGACGACAACAAACATACCAATAGCATTACCCGAGTATTATAACAGTATTACTATTATTTCCCAGAATAGAATTTTATCTCCCTTTTTCACTAAACTAAATTGATTTAGACGGTAGGTTGAAAGAGAACTCCACAACTCTACTCTACCCCTACCCTTTATATCTCTCTCTCTCTCTCTCTCTCTCTCTCTCTCTCTCTCTCTCTCTCTCTCTCTCTCTCTCTCTCTCTCTCTCTCTCTCTCTCTCTCTCTCTCTCTCTCTCTCTCTCCTTGTCTTCAACGCCACCACCTACTGCTTACCACTTACGACTTAACCCAAACTACCACTACCACAACTACTATCGCTACTACCACAACGAGTACCAATTACGCCAAACTTACCTGTGAACCCGACGAGCACCTGGAAAATCGCCGACACAGCGATGGCACCCTGGATTTCCCTCATGCGCTGTTGCCAAACCTCCTCCCGCTCCTCCTCCGTCATGGTGGCGAGGGGGAGGTCCCGGCAGGCCTCGAAAGTGGTGGTGAGGATGGCGATGGTGGGGACCAGGAAGCTGAAGGTGCCCCCCTGGATGATGGGGAGCCTGGGGGAGGGGGGAGCAAGAGGTGAGGGAAGAGGGAGGAAGGCGTGTTGGGGATAGAATGTGTATGATGGAGAGAGAGGTGAGTGTTGGGGATAGAGGCGTGTGTTGGAGAGGATATGTGTTGATAGAATAGAGTATGTTGGGGATAGTGTTGGGATAGAATGTGTATGATTGTGTGCTGGGGATAGAGGCGTGGTTTGGGGATGGAATGTGTGTGTTGGAGAGAGAGGTGTGTGTTGGGGATAGAGGCGTGTGTTGGAGATAGAATGTGTATGTTTAGAATGTGTCGCGTGTTGGGGATAGAATGTGTATGTTGGAGAGAGAGGTGTGTGTTGGGGATAGAGGCGTGTTTTGGAGATAGAATGTGTATGTTGGGGATAGAAGCGCGTGTTGGGGATAGAATGTGTATGTTGGGGATAGAAGCGCGTGTTGGGGATAGAATGTGTATGTTGGGGATCGCGTGTTGGGATAGATGTGTATGTTGGGATTGAAGCGCGTGTTGGGGATAGAATGTGTATGATGGGGAGAGAAGCGCGTGTTGGGGATAGAATGTGTATGTTGGATATAGAGGTGTATGCTGGGGAAGGAGGAATGCGTTATAGCTATTCTTATTGGTTTGTCTCCTCATTTCCATATTCTATCACGTATCACTCTCCATTTTTTTTATTCTCCAACAAGAGACCTCTCTCCCTTACCTATTTTTTTTCTGCTCCCTCTCTTCCCTTTATTCGCTTCCTCTTTCCCTTTCACTTCCCTATTTCCTGTATTCCTTCTTCCTCTTCCTTACGCCCTTCCTCATCCTCGATTTTTATTCTAATCATCTATTAAATAACTCTTTTACTCTCTTTCAATTTCCCTTTTCGTTTCCTCCTTCTCTCTCTTTCAGCACCTTTCTCTTTTCCCTCTCTCTCCCATTCATCTTCCCCCATCGTGGGTCCTTCTCTCCATCTCATTGCCACTTCCTCTTTTTCTTTTCTTCCCCCTTTCCTTTTCCCCTTTCTCTCCCTTTCCTTCTTTGAGTTGCATTTCCCCTACCTTCTCTCCCTTCCCCTTTTCTCTCTACCTTTTCCCTTCTACTCTCTCTCTCTTTCTCTTTCTCTTTCTTTCTCTCTCTCCCCCTCCCTCCCCCTCTTACTCCCCTTGCCTTATCCCTCCCTCCTTCCCCCTCCGCCTCCTCCTCTCCCTTTCTCCCCTCCCCCTCCTTCCCTCTCCTTTCCCCCTCCTCCCCTCCTCCCTCTTTCCCCTCCCCCTCCCCTCTCCCTTTCCCCCTCCCCCCCCCCTTTCCCCTCCCCCTCCCCTCCCCTCCCCCT